GAGATATATATATATATATATATATATATATATACTGGGCTATCTTGATTATCACTTCTCTTACTCAATTGGCCTCTCAGAGTTGGTAAGACAACTCCCACCTTTCATGCTCTCTGTATGTGTATATATATTTCCTCAATATATGTTCCATTCTATGCATCCGAAGAAGTGGGCTGTAGCCCACGAAAGCTCATGCTCAAATAAATTTGTTAGTCTCTAAGGTGCCACAAGTACTCCTGTTCTCTATTTTGAGGAATTTGTGGATTTAATAAATTGTTCTGTTTTGTTTTCTCTCTAGGATGACATCTGCCATAAAGTATTGACTGGCCCTGCATTTTCAGAATGTAATGCACTAGTTGAGGTTAGCGAGTACATTAAGTCTTGTGAACAAGACTTGTGCCGCTGTGACCAGTCTAAGAATGCCTTCTGTATTTGTAACACCTTTGGTGAATACTCCCGGCAGTGCGCCCATGCCGGTGGACAACCTCTGAACTGGAGAACCCCACAACTGTGTCGTAAGTGTCTCTAGAACTGGCCTTCATCTGTGCTTGCCAATTAGTCAGCAACAGAGTCCTATAGTTTGTTGGGGACTCATGGGAACTAAATGTTATTAAGTACTGGATTGGTTTCCAGAGGGCTTTTATATATAAATTCCGTACTTCAGGCCAGATCCTGGGGTGCAGCTGATCTCCCTATGGTTAAACTGTGGTCATTAATATTTATCAATGTAAATTCTGGAGTTAAATTCCCCAGGGTATAATTGGATACTTCAGTGATTTCCACAGAACTCAAATATGCATATGCACTGGAAAATTAACGCTTCCAAATTTCACTAGAAATTTAGATTCTTGAAAAGAGGGGACGGCAAAACAAACGCGCCAGAGTATATGCCTCAGAGATCTGTGAGACAATTACTCATGAATCCATAGAATTCCAGACTTTAAGTCACAAATCCAGTATCATACAGTTCTATCTGACACACAAGTTTTTGAAAAACACACCTAAACTACAAAATATGGATTGAGATTTCCAAAATCCAAGGAATCCTTGGAGCTCGGGTTTGGTGTGGCCTCATCTCTAGTGGGGAAAGGTTGAATGAGCATTCATTCTAATATGTAGCAAATGGGGATTACATTTGAATTCAGAAACCTGTCTTCCTTTAAAATTCCAGCCAAGAAGTGTCCTTTCAACATGCAGTACCAGGAATGTGGATCCCCCTGCACTGACACCTGCACCAACCCTGAAAGATCTCAAGTCTGTGAAGATCACTGTATGGATGGCTGCTTCTGTCCCCCAGGCAAGTTTTTATTTACTCCCATCTTTCATAATTTCAATAAAGAGCACTAGCAGATTTACATGTAGGAGTTTAGTAGCTTTCTCAGGGGTCAGGGCTCCTCCAGCTGCCCTCTTCACGGCTTCAAGTGGTAGGCCTTTACCTGTGCACAACAAGTGACAAAACACGTGACTGAATAATTAATTTCCTGTAGATATGCAATATCTGCAAAGTAGTGAGGAACAATCAGGGACCAAAATAGAACATAAAATGCTACCCGTCTTATAGGAATGAGATGGTTTTACTACAGCAATTCAGTATTATTCAATTGAATTCACCTTACAGGGCAGGAAACCCCTTGAAAGACCAATGGGATTTTAAGACTTCCAGGGCAAGACCCTCAGCTGGTGCAATTTGGCATAGGTCCCCTGACTTCAATGGAGCTATGACCATTTATGAGCTCCAAGACTGTATTTTATATTTGTAGTAAACTTTTTAAAACAAGAAAAACTGCATATTGTCTATATGTATAAAACACCTTTGTAATGTATCCGTTTCTTTCTTCATTTAGGAACTGTGCTTGATGACATTAACAATGCTGGCTGCATCCCCCTTTGGGAGTGCTCCTGTACTTACAATGGCAACTCTTATGCTCCAGGGACATCTTTTCACGCCCATTGCCATTCCTGGTAACTTACCTATTTTGCTGTTTCTTTTTTAGTAAAATGAATTAGTTTAATGGTTTATTATACACAATTTCATCATTAACCACCTCTGAGTGCATATTACTGACTTCCCTGCAATTCTAACAGAATCTCAAAAAAACGTTTGTCTCCTTTAGTGTCATTATTTAATAGGCTTTGCATTCTGACTCAAGTTAAAATAAGGATTTGTGATATATAGGTTTCTTACCTCTCCATTAAAATTCTCTCTCTTTGTTTGCTCCCTTGAAGTATTTTGACTTTTCCAAGACAAAAGAAACTGCAGCCACTCACTTATTTGCAAACATAGATTTCCCCTGAAGAAGCCAAGAATAATATGATGGGAACATCAGTAGCAAAACAACAAAACTTAATGACATTGTAACTCCTTTCCTCCAAGCTATTATCGCTGATTGTGATTCATTTCTCCACTTTCCTTCCAGTACCTGCAATGGAGGCCAGTGGATTTGCACAAACATTCCATGCCCTGGATCTTGTACAGTAGAGGGAGGTTCACACATCTCCACATATGATGAAAAACGTTACAATGTCCATGGAGACTGCACTTATGTTTTGTCTAAGGTAAGCACCATCAGGTTTTAATAGGTCATAGAGTCCTATGCAGTTATATGGAGGAAGGAGTGGGAGGGCTGCCTGAGTCAGGACTAGAGAAGCTAACCACACTTAGGAAAGAACATTGGAGAGTTTCCTGTTAAATCAGAAGAGCACTGTATTGAGCGAGAATATTCAACAATTCATGCAAACTGTATTAACTAGTTGTGATGTTGGGAGCAAGGTAAATACTGATGAATTTCAGATTCCAGGATGTGGTAATTGTTGGTAAATGCTGAATATTTGCAAGCAACTGCTGTATTTGGTCTATTTTCATAGCTGTCATACAATTCAACCCCCTTGCTGCGTGGCAACTGTTTTTGCCATGTTACTAGTCCTTGGTCATAACAGGTCAGGCAGGAAAAGATGGGGATAGAGAGTGAAGCGGAAGCACATTTTTTAGAGGGGGTTGAAACAAAACTTTGAGTCTAAACACCAGAACCAGATCCAAATTCTGTGACTAGTCCCAGTCTCTATCACTATAACACTAGTTCAAAATAGCCCTGAGCTTTGGGAAAGTTTGGACCAACCTCTAAGAAATAAATATTTTTCAGACCCGGGAACAAGCCTTTAAAGCAATAGTTGTTGGTATTGGTTTTTTCAGCTCTGTAAAAATGACACATTCGCTGTTCTGGGAGAACTCCGCAGATGTGGCTTGACAGACACTGAGACATGCTTAAAGACAATAGTCCTCAGCGTTAATGGAGGACAAACTGTAAGTATCCAAAACAAGTGGTGAAAATGCTGCAGGAATATTTTATAAAAATGTAGGGAGCATAAAGATTAAGCCAGAATGAGTCAGGGATAGAGCTTTGTTAATAATTGATTTTTCAATTCAGGTCAAAGGAAATGTTTCATTTGAGACAAAATGAAAAGATTTGTTTCGTTTTCAAGTTCTTTTATCTTTTAAAAAAATAATAAAACTAAAGTTAAAAAGTCATTTGGAGTCAACAAATCTAAACAGTTCATTTTGAATATGTCAGAATGAAAGGTTTAAACTTTTTTCTTTTATTGAAACTATTTAGCAAATGCGACGTATTTGGAAAATGTTTGTCCACTTGAATCTGCATTTCTCAGCATAAAAAAAAGTTTAGTCTAGAAAATTTCACCCAGATCTAGTCAGGGAGTTGCATTTATCCTTCTAAGGATCTGCAGGTCTGAAAATATGTATTAGTTTTTAAAACCAAGGTAAAATAAATGTATCTTTATTTATCATAATAGTGAGGTAAGTAGTATGTTCAGCCCTGTGCTAGTTCAGTCAGAAAAGATACTTTATTCTCAAAACAGGAGAGAAGTTCTCTTTCTATTAAGTAAACAATGACACCATGATCTTCTTGGCTTCTCCCTAAAACTACCAGCTGCACTAGCTGTAAGTCAGTTCAGATACAGAGGCTCTGCATCACTGCAAACCAAAATAGCCTGCTGCAGCTCTGTAAAGGACAAAGAATGATTCTTTAAAACAATTCCCTTTCTGAAGGGAAGGCAACCGAAGATTAAAAGGAAGGACAATTAAGATTTTAAAGGAAGGGTAAAAAAATCAGAAAATCAACCCCCTTTCATGAAATTCTTTATCATGCTGATATTACCAATGCATGACATAATGTTCCTTTATCTCTATCTTCCTTGCCAGATCATTGTGATCAAGCCTGGAGGTGGCGTGTTTGTGAATTGGATCTACACTCAGTTGCCCTTCTCAGCAGGTATGTTTCTCTCCCGGGGCCAATACATGACACTCTCAAAACTTCACCTAGATTCCTGCTTATTATTTTAAACTTCAAAGGAGTTGATGTGATGTCAGTATAATGAAGAATCCCATAGCCTAGCATGTTCACACTAGATTCTCACTATGATGATTCTTGACCCAAATGGTGATTCCAGCAATAGAGGTCCAAAGTCTCATGATACATTACAGCCCGTTGTCCAACTTGTTAAGATATTAATTTGGTTTTTGCTGTCTATCCTCATAAAGAATGATCCTCGCTGAAGATTTTTATGCCACCCAGAGCCTGCTCATTCTCCTCTCCACAATGGACTTGCAATGATCAAGATACGAGATTAGACACTAGAACAAAATTATTCTTGTTAATGCTTGATGTAATCCAATTTTTCCATTCATTAGTCTGTGGGAAGGAGCAGACAAAAGGAGCATTCTATTCCTGTGTAACTTTAATACAAACTTCACTTGCTAGCTCCTAGGCAGTCACAAGCAAATATTGCATTGTATTTTTCATTCAACTTTAACCATATCTTGGCTTTACTCCACACTAGGGGTCTCTATAGTTGCAACAGTAATCCAAGAAGAGCCATAAGAATGGGGTGTTTCCAGCATTTGATCTCTTCTGAAATCTGATTATCCTGTTCTTTGTCCATAGCTAATGTCACCATTTTCAGACCCTCATCCTTCTTCATCATGGTGGAAACAAACTTTGGACTTCAACTGGAGATCCAACTTGTACCCATCATGCAAGCGTTTGTGCGACTGGATCCATCTTTCAAAGGGCAGACTTGTGGTAAGTGAATGTAACAAAACCAGTGACCTGCCTGAAATCCCCATTGGTCTTGTATGAATGATTCAAACTTTGTGCTTTTTCAACAGGTCTCTGTGGAAACTTCAACAATATTGAGACTGATGACTTCAGAGCCATAAGTGGTGTAGTGGAAGGAACAGCAGCTGCATTTGCTAATACCTGGAAAACACAAGCTTCATGCCCTAACATCAAAAATAACTTTGAGAATCCTTGTGCCCTCAGCGTAGAAAATGGTAAATCCATTATAGAAAATTGTCCATGACATGCGGGCAATTTGAAATTAGATTTCTAGTTTTCCCTACAGAGCTAATGGAAAATACTTGACATAAAGCAAAAATTAGAAGAAATAAGAGATTTTAAACATGGTAAAACATACATTTGGAATCAGAAAGAAATGTTAATAAGAGAAGAAAATTAGAGAGAAGCTAAGTAATAAAATAAGTGCAAGAATCATGGATACTTTCCAACAACAGTTTATCTTCACAGACTTAGGTTTAGTGCATAAGATGACAACTTGGTGCAGAATGAGTGTACAATAGCTATATGTTTATAAGGCTTTGGTGAATTCTTTGTTCAATCCATGGTAAGAAACTGCTTTTTCATAACTTTGGCTTTAACAAGTCTTTACCAAATGTTGCAGTGAGCAAAACAATGTGATTGCTATGGTAGAATTTCAGAATTGAGTTTACAAGAGATCATGAGTCACACAAGGGCACATTAGCACTAGGTTTTTGAGCCTAATGAAATAAAAAGAGTAATATGGATTTCTTTCATTTCCTCTATTCACAGAAAAGTATGCTCAGCACTGGTGCGGATTGCTGACGGACAGCACAGGACCTTTTGCCAATTGCCACTTAACAGTGAATCCAGCTGTTTACCACACGGTACTTAGCTATTTTTCTTTTTCCTTTAAAAAACAATCAATGCACTTGTGCACTTAAAACCAGCTGTTTGGAAAGAAATGTCCGAAACACATCTCCCAGATTATGCTGTGTCTATATTTTAATCTGCATAATACATCACTTCTTTTTCTCTATATATGTTTCTTACTCTAGGTGTATATTTCCTACCCTTATTTCAGTCTGCAGTCTTGGTTTTATCATCCTGAATTGCTTTTACACTCTTTGTTAAACAAGAACTGCTATTTGCCACAGAGCAAGAAAACCAAAATGTAAACATATAAAGAGGAAGTTATATATAAAGTATATAAAATATATGAATTCTATATAAATTTTTGCTTACTAAAGCATAATATCTTCAGAATAATCCATATATTTAGGTAAAATGGGAGATTACGAAGCATACAATAGATTCTTTGGCTCTTATTTTTCAATAACTGCCAATATTTGGGGGTCTCCATTATCGCCATATCAAAAAAATCCTAAAAGGAGGTAGGAAAATATTAAAGATATGTTGACACTGCTCACAACTGAATGTATATGGAGAAGAAGCTGATACATAAGACCAGAAATTAACAGGACCTGTTTTTGGATGGGCAGTTCTGTGATGATTAATTAGTTTGTTTCTGCACCCCTAGAACTGTCTGTTTGACACCTGTAATTGTGAAAAGAGTGAGGACTGCATGTGTGCTGCCCTCTCTTCCTATGTGAGAGCCTGTGCTGCCAAAGGAGTCCAGCTGGAGGGATGGAGGACTGATGTCTGTTGTAAGTGTTATAGCCACTCCCTCGGTCTTCTATTCTGAAAGAACCAGTAGTAGAATTTATCTATCAATCATCATTTTATATCAATTTCTAGCCAATCCAGGGCTCTCCCAGTAAATTTTGAAGGAAAGATATTGAAAAGTAAAATTCTAACAATAATTTCCTATTTTTTTTAATGTATTGGAGGTTAGTTATGGTGAATACAGATGGAAGATACAGTTGTGGCTAGGAAAGAGACAACTGCTGCTGAAGGGGCTCTAACTCTCTCCGCAGAGGCTCTAAGTTAACTAGAGTTTCATCTGTCACCGGTTGCCATGGAAATGAATGTGTCAGATCACAGAAACAATATTAATTCTAAACAGAACACTTTATAAATAAAGAATGTTTAAACAAAGGGTTGTTTAAAGTCACCAAGCTGTTTTCTTTGATCCAACATGTCTGTTTCCAGTGCAGGAGTATTTATGTACCTCAGGAGGCCTCATGCCTCAGACTGCACCAAAGGTTTATAGGTTTCTGTTGTAACTGCCATCCTGTTGTGTGGTTTCTCTTTCCAAATCTCATTTGAAGACATATCTTTTTTTCATTTGCATATATCACTTCATTTGTCCCCCATCTACTGTTACCTTTTTTTTTAATATAATGCTGTGCATTATTTAACTCTGAAAGATGCTGGGATACATTTTGTCTGAAAAATGTGATACACAAAAAAATATATAGCATTGTTGTTTATGTTATTCACACTACATATTGCCCCTCTCTCCCCACCAAATAATATCTGGAACTAACAAATCCGTTAATGTAATTTTTGTTTTTGTTTTTCCTTCTCAAGCCAAATACACAACCTCGTGTCCCAAATCCTTGAGCTACAGCTATACCATCAGTTCCTGTCAACCCACTTGCCGGTCTCTGAGTGAGCCCGATGTCACATGTAACATCAGGTTCATTCCAGTTGATGGTTGCACCTGTGAAAAAGGAACCTACATGGATGAATATGGCAAATGTGTGTCTGCTAGTGAATGTCCTTGTTATTACAAAGGATCTCCCATTCTGTCTGGGGAAGTTGTTCATGAAGATGGTCTTGTATGGTAAGAGATTCTTTTATAAAACACTAAAGCTGCATTGTATAAACTTTCTAAATAAAAGAATACACCTCAGTTAAGCTGGCTGTACCCAGCCCTGCATGATTGTCAATACAATGCTCTGTCCACAGAATAGTTCTGTTAGACTATGAGAGCAGTGCATTTTTCCAGACATATGAGAACTATTGTATTTAGGCGAGATTCCTGCTGTATTCAATGATTTTTCCCAGCATAAAATACAAAAATACACAGTGAGAGGTTTTTAGTATAATAAACATCAAACTCACCGGGAAACACTGTCTGTCACATTTTCGGTCACAATTTTTCCTGGACATCTATAGCCGAGATCATAGGGAAATACCACCAGCTGTTGGGTTGACAAGAAACTTTTTTCTGTAACCACAAGGTGGCATGTTAGAATCCCATGTCCTATTGGAAAGTTCTATAACAGCAGAAAAGAAGCTCAGTATGTGGGGCTTAGAACAGAAGGCGCTACAGAAATACAAAATAATAAATAATAAATATTATTATTATTCCCTTCCATTTCTGACAGCACTTGTGCACAGGGTAAACTGAGCTGCATTGGAGTTGTGAACCAAATCCCAGGTAAAAACCCTTCTTTAGCTTCTCTTTGCTCTCTAGCCTGTCCTTGGTTTTGCGTACATTTTCTCTTGGTGCAACAGAACAAAACTGAAACACACAGGAAAGTCAATAGGGTGGAAACCGTTGCTTAATTTCATCTACTATTTTTAAAATAAAACATCAGTCTATACAGTGTGACCAGTTAAAAAAAAAGCACACAAAAATTAACATGCAGGTAATGAAATAATAATGACATGTAATTTCTAAAAGATTATATAAATTAAAAACTGCTGCTTCCTAGGGAATTCATAGCGTCCTGTCACATAAGCCCCTGCATTCTTTTTTTAATTGTGCTGAATATGAAGAGCCTAGACTCCTTATAGCAAATTGAAAACGTGTTATTGTTGTGCAAACTCTGGTGCCTTTTCTCATCACTCTCATATCATTCTCTCCCCTAGTTTGTGCTCCTCCCATGGTCTACTTCGACTGCAGAAATGTCACTGCAGGCACCACTGGAGCCGAATGCCAGAAGAGCTGCCAGACGCTTGACATGCAGTGTGTAAGTATGAAATGGCTGGACACTCCTGGACACTAGAACTATTCATTGTTCACAAATATGGTCCTGAAGCTGTAATACTGATAGTCTGTTGTTTGTGCAATGAAACCCTGGAAGCATGCTATGAAGCATTAACAATGGGATCACTAAAAGTCAAGTTCATGAGCAAATAAAAGTCAACTTTACTTGAAGCTCTCACATAGGTACTGACTGGAGATGCATCAGACTTTGTAGATCTAATTCAGATAACAATACCTAGCAAGAACTAGTTCACAGCAAAACATCCAGAAGTTTGTCATGTGCACAATCTGTTCAGTAGAAAATTACTGGATGTAATCTTGATTGAAATTGTTAATATTTTTTGTGCCGTGATGCATTTTTTAATAATCTCTTACACATCCAATTATATTACAAAGGCTAGGAACATGATAACAGCCTGATTGGCTGTGTCATTTTATGAGACAGCGTCACATGAGATAAATGGCAATCCAACTTAATGCATCAGAAAAAATGTATTAAACTATTCTTTTTTTAACTTATCATCCTCTCAGACACAGATCAGCAGGTCCACAGGTTCATCAGCAAGTCAGGCTGGTACCCAATTCAATATCTTTCCCACTTTCACAATCCATAGACCACCTATGGAGACTGGGACACATGAAATGTTGATGTTTAACAGGTTTTATCTTCCACTAAATCTTCCTTTAGCAACCAACCATATGTTTGAGCAAAATCCATATTTTCCTTCAACCCATCTCTGATTTTAACTGCATGTAAATCAACAGTCCAGAGACAGGTTCTAAGAACCTAATCTTACTCTCTCTCTACTTGAGTAAGTAAAAAGCAACAGAGGGTCCTGTGGCACCTTTAAAACTAACAGAAGTATTGGGAGCATAAGCTTTCGTGGATAAGAACCTCACTTCTTCAGATGCAGGAAGTGACATTCTTACCCACAAAAGCTTATGCTCCCAATACTTCTGTTAGTCTTAAAGGTGCCACGGGACCCTCTGTTGCTTTTTACAGATTCAGCCTAACACGGCTACCCCTCTGATACTTGAGTAAGTAAGTTACATTTTCTGCTTGGCTTTACAGTACAGCACACAGTGTATGTCTGGCTGCATGTGCCCCTCTGGGCTAGTGTCAGATGGTAAAGGCAGCTGTGTTGCTGAAGAGGAATGTCCATGTATTCACAACGAGGCTACCTACAAACCAGGGGAAGAGATCAAAGTTGACTGCAACACCTGGTATGTATTCATTGAACTGTGTGGTTCATGGAGCCACCACATTGCCCTTTCCAAAGATCCATATATAAGCAGCACAATGGCGAAAAGAAATGTTCATTGGATTGGGTTGGCAGATGGACTTTTCAGTATATTAACCATAACAAGCCAGTTTTCTGTCAATCAAGGTAGATGGTAAAAGCAAAGAGTGGGAGCCAGGAAATCTTTGGGTTTAAGGTTTTCATAGAATCAGATTCATAGAAAAATGGGGGTGGAAGGGACCTTGACAGATGATCTAGTCCATCCCCCGTGCTGTGGCAGGACAAGCCTACCTGGACCATCCATGACAGGTGTTTGTCTAACTTGTTTTTAAAAACCGCCAAAGATAGGGATTTCACAACCTCACTTGATAATCTATTCCAGAGCTTAACTATACTTGTAGGTAGAAGGTTTTTCTTAATATCTAACCTAAATTTCCCTTGCTACAGATTAAGCCCATTACTTCTTGTCCTATCTTCAGTGGACATGAAGAATAATTGATCAAGTCCTTAATATATTTGAAGACTGTTAGCAAGTTCCCTCTCCATCTTCTTTTCTCAAGACTAAACATGCCCAGTTGTTTTTTTTTAAACATTTCCTCATAGGTCAGCTTTTCTAAACCTTTTCTCATGTGTGCTGCTCTCCTCTGTACTCTCTCCAGATAGTCCACATCTTTCTTAAAGTGCGGCATTCAGAACTGAACACAGAACTCCAACTGAGGCCTAACCAATGCTAAGTAGAATGGGAAAATTACGTCAGTCCTGTTAATACACCCCAAAATGATATTAGCCTTTTTTGCAACTGCATCACATTGTTGACTCATATTCAATTTGTGATCCAGTATAATGCCCAGATCCTTTTCACCAACACTACTGCCTAGCCACTTATTCCTCCTTTTGTAGTTGTGCATTTGATTTTTTCCTTCCTTAATATAGTACTTTGCACTTGTCTTTATTGAATTTTATCAACAGTTCTCCAATTTGTCAGCGTCATTTTGAATTCTAATCCTGTCCTCCAAAGTGCTCGCAATTCCTTCCAGCTTGGTGTTATGGGCAAATTTTATAAGTATACTCTCTATTCTATTGTCCAAGTCATTAATGAATATATTGAACAGTACCAGACCCAGGACAAACCTCTGCAGGACCCCATTAGATACATCCCCCGAGTTTAACACCAAACCATTTATAATTACTCTATGAGTACAGTCCTTCAACCAGTTTTACACACACCTTACAGTAATTTCATCTAGACCACATTTCCCTAGTTTTCTCATGAGAATATCATATGGGACTTTACCAAAAGCCTTTCTAAAATCAAGATATATTACATTTACAGCTTTTCCTCTATCCATTAGGCCAGTAATCCCATCAAAGCAGGAAATTAGGTTGGTGTGGCATGGTTTGTTCCTGACAAAATCCATGTTGGCTATTACTTATAGCCCTATTATTCTCAAGGTGTTTACAAATTGATTAATAATTTGTTCCAGTATATTTCCAGGTATTGAAATCAGGCTGACTGATCTATAATTCCCCAGGTCCTCTTTGTTACACTTTTTCCTTCTTCAGTCATCTGGGACCTCACCCATCCTCCATAAATTCTCAAAGATATTCATTAATTGTTCCAAGATTGCCTCAATTATTCCTCAAGTTCCCTAGGATGAATTTCATCAAGCCCTGCCAACTTGAATATAGCTAACTTATCTACAGTATTCTTTAACCTGCTCTTTCCCTATTTTAGTTTGCATTCCTTTCTCCTTGTTGTTAATATAAATAATGTTAACTATCTGGTCACAATTTACCTTTTTAGTGAAGACTGAAACAAAATAGGCATTAAGCACCTCAGCCTTCTTGATAATGTCCATTATTAACTCTTCTTTCCTGCTAAGTAGAGGACCTCCTTTGTCTTTCTCTTGCTCATAGTGTATTTATAGAACCTCTTCTCATTGTCTTATGTCCCTTGCTAGAGGTAACTCATTTTGTGCCTCAGCCTTTCTGATTTTGTTCCTACATGTTTCTGCTATTCTTTTGCTCTCATCCTTAGCAATTTGTCCATGTTTTCACTTTTTGTAGGATTTTTTTTTAATTTTCAGTTCATTAAAGAGCTTGTGATAGAGCCATATTGGCCTTTTACTATTCTCCTATCTTTCCTTTGCATCGGGATAGTTTGCTGTTGCTCCTTTAATATTGTCTCCTCGAGAAACTGACAACTCTCTTGGACTCCTTTTCCCCCTAGATTTCCGTCCAACAGGACCTTGCCTACCAGTTCTCTGAATTTGTTAAAATCTGCTATTGTTCTTATTTTGCTGTTCTCACTCCTTCCATTCTTTAGAATAATGAAATCTACCATGTCATGATCATTTTCACCCAAATTGCCTTCATCCATCAGATTCACAACCAGTTCCTTCCCTGTTGGTCAGAATCAAATCTAAAATGGCTGTTCCCCTGGTTACTTCCTTCACCCTTTGAAACAAAAAGCTGTTACCAATACATTCCAAGAACCTACTGGACATTTTGTGTTTTGCCATATTACTTTTTCAACAGATGTCTGGGTGGTTAAAGTCCCCCATTACTACCAGGCCTTGTGTTTTCATACAATATTATCTATATTCCTATTAACCCCTTCATGCTGATGATATAGAGCTTTTGCATTAATTGTTTGCTTGGAGAAATTCTAACTTTAACACTAGTGTGAACACAACATTTACCAGGACTGATACATACTGAATTAAATAAATATGTTGTGGGAATTACATGTGCATCAAGTGAGTAATTTTATGATTTAAATGTTTTCTTCTCCTTCTTAGCGTGTGTAAGAACAGGATGTGGAAATGCACCAGTGAACAATGCCTTGGTACATGCGCTATTTATGGAGATGGGCATTACATCACATTTGATGACAAACGGTTTAACTTCAATGGAGATTGTGAATACACATTAGTCCAGGTACTGAGCTTTTGTCTTAGCATTACTACTTGTGGAGTCACCTGTATCCTCCATATTGCAATTATCCATCTGATAACTTCATTTCTCTCTTCAGGACCACTGTGGGAAAAACAGCACAGTCAATGGAACCTTTCGAGTTGTCACTGAAAACATCCCCTGTGGCTCCACTGGGACCACCTGCTCTAAGTCTATTAAAGTCTTCCTAGTGGTGAGTAGCTTTTTTGGTACATTTTTGAAAAGAACATTTTTATTATGTATCCATTTGAGACTCAGGAGGAGCCAGAAGCTTCTGAAGTGAAGACTTTCCAAGGTTTGTAAAATACAATTTAAGCCAAAAACAAACAAAATATTTGGTAGTGCTTCCAATCTTTATTTATTTGTTTGTTTATTTGGTGGCAAAGCTATCCTATGTAGTATTTGGGCCAAATTCAATTTTCCAGGGGAGTTATGTAAAATAAATCATTTTATGGCGCACCCTATAGTACCTCTATAATTGTAGGCATTCTCTCCTTTGATTGACTTAAACATTTTAAAATGTATGTTCTTAAAACAGTTGTACGGTCATATGATTTGAACTATATAAATTAGATTTTTCTCATTTGCCTCAAAAATGAATAATTACTCATCTTTGCTGGATAAATAGTATTGTTCTCTTTAAAATGGAAAACAGACATAGTTAAGATCATTCCCAAACGTTTGTTGTTGGGAGGTGTCTCCTATACCAACAAACCATACTAATTACTGAAAAACTGATCCTTAGTCATTCCTTTGATTTTTTTCTCCCCATTTTAGGGCTATGAGTTGATACTCAGTGAGGAACACCTTGAAGTGGTAGAAAGAGAAAATGGAGGGCAAATGCCATACCAAGTCCGCTATATGGGCATGTACTTAGTTATTGAGACCAACAATGGACTGATCCTCATGTGGGATAAGAAAACCAGCATCTTCATCAAACTCAGCCCTGATTTCAAGGTAAGGCTTAAGAAGGCAGGAGTTTGCTGCCAACTATCATTGACACAAATGATGAATTATCGTCCCTCTTGAGTGAGAAAGCAATATTGATTGAAAGGAAACAGAGTACAGTTGAAAGTCTTGTGTAAAATGATAGGAAGTATGTTTAACCATGTCTCAAATACAGATGTTAAAGGCAGTGTGTGGTACTATACTAGAGTTTGTCAACATAGCTATTGATGTGTGAGAAGGGTATTATATACCATAGGAAATGGGAATTTTGTCATCCTATTTGCATACTACACTGACTTTTCCATTAGGGAAATGTATCAGGGAGTGGTTCAGCCAGCTTCAGAAATTTATGTAGAAGTGTATTCTAATGCTATGAGTTCTTTAGCTAAATAATACACCAGAATCAAATAATTTCCCCCCACAAATATGGAATGTATGTATTTTAGATTCATACATACAGCCTAGTATTAACATCAGCCTTGCTAAATTTTACCTGCTCACTTGCCTAGGGTGACATTTTTTGGATGGACAAGCAAAGTATTCATTTTTATCACTGTCATTAATTTTGGTAAAGAGCAAGTGAGTAGATTTTGTGCCTGGAGTGGGCTGCTCATTTTCATGACAGTTTTGTAAGGCTGTTTTATCTATGTATGTCTATTGTATATCTGTACAACACAAGACAAACAAAAGAATATGCAATTAGCTAACTGTAGATTCATCATCGTAACTCACCAGTGATGGGGCACAATAACAAAGCAATTTTCTTATTGTTCAAATTTTTAAATAAATTACTAGGCATATACCCCTCAGACCAGTCATCAGGTCCTTTTACTGAGATAAAAAGCAGATTTTGTGGAAAGTATGTTATCTTAAAAAAACAGAGAGTCAGGATATTACCAAACAGTTAGAGATAACATGCAAAATAGGGAATTCCAGAGGTGCTTTTAGTCTGTGATGTTGCTGCAAATTTTCTATCATCCTTTTGTGTGTGTGTGTACGTACAGGGTCAGGTCTGTGGCCTGTGTGGCAACTTCGATGGCAATGGCATTAATGACTTTACCACCAGAAGTCAGTCTGTGGTAGGAGATGTGCTGGAGTTTGGAAACAGCTGGAAAGTGTCTCTTACTTGTCCTGATGCCAACTCTACAAAGGACCCTTGCTCTACCAACCCTTATAGGAAGTCCTGGTCACAGAGGCAGTGCAGCATCATCAACAGTGAAGTCTTTGCTGCATGTCACTCTCAGGTATAGCAAATCCTCAGAGCAAAATTCTCCTAAATAAAGACTATCTTTTTATATTCCTCAGATGCCTGTGCACTTGACATTGAGTTGTCACTCCTTACATTCCATTGAATACAAGTAGTCTGCTAAACATGGGTGTGAACAAGAGCAACTGGATCCAGCCCCACACTCAACCTTTGGGTGTTTGGATCCAGCTCTGAATTTTACAACTGAGGCTCATCTCTAATATATACACTACATTGTTGAAGAAACCCATCCCTTAGAAGATAGGAGTCAGAGCTAATTACTAACTAAATTGCTGACTATCCAGAAGTTTCATTTGGGTCCATTTTCTCCCTATTCCAAAAGAACTACCCCCATTGAAGGTTGTTCACATACATTCTGAAACAGGTGCACAATTCATCAGCTAACATATGTTTCACCTTGAATTGTCATAGGTAAATTTCAGGCTGGATTATTCTACCCAACAAGAATGGGCACTGCACCTGTAGAACAATATAACGTGTATTTTACAGGAAGCATTCTTGTTTTTCTTGTGTAAAAGAAGGATAATCTCAAGTCAGTCTGAGTTTTATTTTTAGTGTGGGTTAGTTAATATTTTCGTCATATGCCATGTACAGAATACAAGTGTAACGCCAACAAACCCCGGTCATCAGCGGGTGGCATCGAACCGGGGATTTCTGGAGCTTAGTGCATGAGCCTCTACCTCATGAGCTAAAAGCCAACTGGCTGTTAGCAAAGGCTGTAGAGCAAACTCATTAATCTCTCTTTCTAAGTGGTCTTGGTGCCACTAGATGGGACAGAACACTACACCCAGAAATTACACAAGCTCTTGGGTTACACAAGCTCTATCCCTGGGTTAATTAACAACATGCTGGAGTAGCAGGGGAAAAGAATCAGTGTAGATATCAGCAGCCATCTTAATTCTTTCCATAGATACAAATCCTAATTTTCAAACATAGTTGCCTGTTTGAAACCTGCATTTTGGGTCTCAAATCTGCAATTGTTTGCAAATCTGCTTATGTGAATGATCAAATGTATGATTTAGACATACTGTTTCAGCATCCACATGGGAAAATTGGGCCTAGTTTGTCTAGCAATGCAAATACAAGAAAATGAAAGTTACAGATTTTCCCTTTTTGTGGCATGTTAATATTCTAGAAGCGTTACTCTGGCAAAGCAAGATGACTCCAGAGAAAGTAAAACTTACATTTACTGCTTTCTTTGTCTAACAGGTTGAACCAACTAAATATTATGAAGCATGTACGACTGATGCTTGTGCTTGTGACAGTGGGGGAGACTGTGAATGTTTCTGTACAGCAGTAGCTGCATATGCTCAAGCATGTAGTGAATTTGGTGTCTGTGTAGCCTGGAGAACTCCATCAATCTGTCGTGAGTATTAGCCCATAGCGCAGTGGTGACTGAAAGAGTAGTGTATCAGTTTCAAGGCAATTGTTTTGAGAATGTTATTAAATATGTTATTAAATATATGACAACAATTTGTTCTCAACCCTGTGTTTCATTTCAAACTGGGTTGACAATTATGCAGTTTCAGCTCTTGATTCATGACTTTCAAGACTACCCAAATGGTATAGTAGTGGTATAATGGAGAGCTATGAAAAAACTGAGGCATTTTGTTCTGAACATGTGTTTTCCGGTTTCCCCTCAGCTCTGTTCTGTGATTATTACAACCCAGAAGGGGAATGCGAGTGGCACTACAAGCCTTGTGGAGCTCCCTGCATGAAGACCTGTAGGAATCCAAGTGGAAGATGCCTTCATAAGTTACCAGGTTTAGAAGGTGAAAAGAGCTATGACAGCATGTTGCTTACTGTAGAGTGCACAACTGGTTACCATTTTTTTCCAGCTCTGTCATTGTTGCATCAAATTCTCTCTTCAGATACACCCCATACAATCTTATTTTCTTCAGTGGGTTGCATTGGTATAAGTGAGGGCAGAGTTTGGTCCATGGGGTTTGAAAACATTTGTAGGACTCAGGCCTGGTGGGGTCTCCTAATGATAATAGTTTGTGCTACGTGAGAGAACTGTATTAGTATCTTGGTTCATAGGCTAGCATCACATTCACAGCTTAGGGGCTAGGGGAGCCTTGTTTGCTAAATAATAACACTGTGCCAACCAACAAAGGAACCATTAACAAGAATCCAGAAGCAGTAGTTTCCTTTTATTTAGAAGGACTCATCATATTATAAGGAAGGCAAGCCATAGAAAGTGAGCCAGGGGAAGGAGTACAAATTTGGAAAGCCCTTGTGCCTGAGAAATATAGGCCAAAGTAGAAAAATAAAAAGGAATTACCTTCTGCCTAAAGTTCCAGCTTAAACTCTTCCAGCTTATACTCTTTTTTTTTTTTGGTCTCAGGCTGCTATCCAAACTGTCCAGCAAACAAGCCATATTTCAATGAGGATGAGATGACGTGTGTTGATAACTGTGGCTGTTACGATGCCAAAGGAAACTACCACAAACCAGGAGTGAGCTTCTACTCACGGGACAACTGTCAGTCATGGTAAGATTTAATGTACAGTCTGACCATGTTAAGGAGAAAGGACCAAAGCAGTGTTTGAAAGTTATGCGCCGCTATCCCACGGAAAGGTGAGGATGTTGCCTGTGCAAAAGCGAACCCTTATTGTCACATACCAATTTCCGTAATACTAGTGAGCAATATTTGATTCTGTTGAAGTGATTTTTGATTCTGTTGAATTTGTTCTCAGTATCACAGTAAATTCTTCAGCTTAGTGCCCAGAAAAAAATATGATGTGCTTTATAACCCGGTTTGTTCTATTCTGTGCTCCTATCTCATGGTGATATTCCCATAAGGTCACTCATCACCATGATAGAAGAGTGCAGAATAGAACAAACCCAGTTATGTAATATATAATATAGATTTGTTGCTGGGGTTTATTCTACATCCACATATAATTTAAAGTTCATAACTAATATGATCCAATATTCAGACTTTTTCCTTTTCTAGCCTCCGGGCCAAAACACTTGACGAATGTGACAAGTAGCCTCCCTAAAGACTTGTTTCTGTAGTTTCCAATGGTCTTTGACTTCATTCTCGCACAGGAGCTGAGGTCTGATATCAGGGAGATGGTTGGGGAAAGAATGGCAGTCAGAGGAAATGACATGAACTGGCTATAAGGGGGATGGCATAAGAAGAGATTGGTCTAACAGTAAGGGGATGGGAAAGGAATGGACCCTCTTCTTAACCCTCCCTCTGATCCATGCTGCTCCAATGTCAGAATTGGCTTTAGGGAGGAATCAAAAAGCAGCCTCTAAGCTTGACACGCTGCAGGTACTGTGGAGAGGGAGCAGCTCCTCCTCTTAACTATTCAGCTGGGAAGAGGTATTTTAATCAGAGCTGACTATGAGAATATTAGCTGGAAACTAAACAAGTACTTCTCTGAACTTCAGTCAAACCGTAATTCAGAATAACTCCTCTCTGGCTTATGATTAGTCTCTATAAATTCAGTGAAAATACCATAACAGTAAAGCGAGTTCATCACCCTTCATGCATCTTCAGTCTCACATTTCTTCTCTGTTATTTCTTTCAGTACATGCACAATGGAAGGCTTAGAGTGCAAGTTTGATGCTGAAGGTAAGTTGGCAAAGAAAATTTATGAATGAAAACAAATTCTTGAGCTTTTGTTTCATTTGACAGGTAACTAACAATGTCATTCCACCTCTTCTGTTTTACAGCATGTTATTGCTATTATGAAGAACACAAATATAAATATAAGGATGTCATTTATAACACCACAGATGGGATTGGAGGGTGTTTGAGTGCAATTTGTGACATCAATGGAACAATAACCAGAACATTCTTTGAATGCAGTGGAATTACAACTACCATCCCATTCACATTTAGTACAGTTCTACCTCCGAGAGCTGCAGGTATTTCTATGCATTTCTCAAAATATCTGAAAAAATCTTTGCATACTGCGGGGTAAGGGTCACTTACTCCTCTAATTGCACATGTTTGTACTGTAAGTTGGTAATTTCTACCATAACAGTCAGAAACTCAGCTGGCAGCTCCCCCACCCCCCATCTTGAGGATTCTCTGCCCAGCAGGTGCAGAGAGATACAGCTTCTATAAATTCTCTCCCTCAGTCCCCACTGTTACCCTGGGTAACACCAACACCAGGTGCTCCCAGAGGAAAGAAAGTGTAGCTAGTTCATCTTTATGCCCTGGAGATCCCTGGCTGCCATGAGCATGAAGTAGAGCAGCTTTAAGGGCAGCTCCCAGAGAGCTGTAGACTGGGCGGGCATTTTTACTACCTCTCCCTATATATATGCTGGACAACAAATAACAATTTTAAAATAAACTGAACACATTAGTGCAATCTCAAAGCTAAAAAATCCAGTATGAGGGAACTTTCAAGGTATTTCAGAATGTCCTTTGACACTCCTCCTGATTGCTAAAGATTTTTTTAACCAGCTAATGCTTTCTTCCAAAAAGCTCATTTACTCCTGCTTGATCCTGCAGTTGATGCATCATGCTGAACTTGCAAAAATGACAACTATATCCATAGCATCGTACAGTAATATCATGAACACAACATGATGAATTCAATGTTGGATCAAGCAGGAGCAACCATTCTGTGAACAAGATGGTGTTTATTCAACATAAATGTCTCAGTAATACCAAGATGCAACAGAAACCTACGTTAAAATAAAGAGAAAAGTTCTAAATATGACTGTCCCAATTGCCATTGACTTCTTCCTTTCGTAGTCACAGTGATGTGTGTGTACCGTTTTGATTGTCTAGAAATCCATTGTAAATGATTACAAAAGAGATAATACAGTGGAAAATCAGTCCCTCTTCTTTACACTGTACACAGTAGAAAAGTGCCTCTTAAAAATTCATTGACTCCTTTATATATTGAGCCTGGATACACAAGACATAACTTGGAATATTTTTAACTGCAAAAGCAGAGAGAAACAGACTATAAGTCAGGTTAAGTTTTGATACAACAGGCACTCACACAGGTGATTGAAATTGCTCTTCCAAAACACTTTGCTGGAGAACAGCGTCTAAGATAATAAAGGTCCCCCATGTGGCCTAAAATAAATTCTCTGAAAGATTAATACCCTAATCTTTCCAAATGCAGTAGTAATAATTAGACATTAGACAGTAATTATTAACAAGAATATTGAATCTAAGGACAAGCAAGTACTTTTTTTTTCTTTCTACCACAGGAACAACAACTACACCACCAGTTACAACAGTGTGTGTTCACAACGTATGCCTTTGGTCAGAGTGGTATGATGTCAGCTATCCAACAGACTCCAACGATGGAGATTTTGAAACATTTGAAAAAATAAGAGCTAAGGGATTTAGTGTTTGCGAAACTCCAAGGGATGTGGAATGCAGAGCAGAAAGCTACCCTGCCATACCACTAAACGACCTGGACCAAAACGTGACATGTAGCAAAGACTTTGGACTCATATGTAATAATAGGGATCAGATTCCACGAAACTGCCTAAACTATGAGATCAAAATATTATGTTGTACTTATGTACCATGTGACTCTTCAACATCTACCCCATCAGTCACAACTAGTGGACATCCAACTGCTTCAATAAGTACAGAAAGTCCAACTCCATTCCCACTTCCCATCACTTCATCTGTCACCACCACGCTTGTACCCCCAGTTTCCACTACTGTATCAATCACCTCCACTACTTCTCCTCGAACTCCAGGCACAGCAACAGGCTCAGCTGGTACAGCACCACTGCAAACAGGCACAATCCCACCTCTGACAGGCACACGTCCACAACCTGCACCAGGCTCCACTCTTCCTTCTTCGGGACAAACAACCACTGAAGGCACCACACTACTCGCTACGCAGGCAGCATCACAGCGAAGCACCACCATGCTTCTGCCCCCAGTTTCCACTACGGTATCAATCACCTCCACTGCTTCTCCTCCAACTCCAGGCACGCAGCCACAACCTTCACCAGGCTCTACTCTTCCTTCTTCGGGACAAACAACCACTGAAGGCACCACACTACTCGCTACGCAGGCAGCATCACAGCGAAGCACCACCATGCTTCTGCCCCCAGTTTCCACTACGGTATCAATCACCTCCACTGCTTCTCCTCCAACTCCAGGCAC